CGTTCAGAAAAGGGAGGTAAAGCGCGGGTTGTGCTTAGTAGAACGGAAATTAGATCAAAAACCCTATACATTGCAGAAAATATTACTGAATTTGAGAGACAAGTAAAATAGCGCTACCCTTGAACCAACCGGTGAACACTCGTGTTTATTTCAGTTACCGTGTGGACGTAATTTGTGATGAGCCCCGGTCCCTTTCAAATTGTATCATTATTTATGTACGATCCATAAATTTGACATGACGTTTCACATTCATCTACACTGATAAATTGAAGTATTCCCATTTTGCTTGAAATTTAATCAAAATCGAATGATTAAACATTAATCCTCTCTTTCTAAAAAATAAGCATCTGATCCCAGTTTAATCATGGTTGATTAGATTGTAGATTATCTTTTCTTGAATAAATTTTAATCATTTTTGATTCTATTTTAATAATTTTTTATTGAATTTTAATCTTTTTTGCTTATATATCAGTATTGAAAAAGAATTAAATTTAATACCGGAAAGATTATTTCGAATTTAATCATGCATGACTAGTGCCGAAGTAATCATGGCAGGGACTCAATAAGGTGAAGCGGGAAACTGCATACTTTTTAAGCTTTTTTGATTTAATTTATCTTTGAGTGTAGTGATGGCCGATTTTTATACAAATTATCGATTAATCGATTAACGAACCGAAAAGTAAAACATTTGTAAGCGGAAATATCATGCGGATATATGTAAGCATTAACTTCTCCAGATGATCATCACCGATCATTTCAAACATGTGCTGCACTCTCATTGGTGTAAAAATGGCAGCACAGCGAACAAAAAAAAATCGATTAGTGATTAACATTAGTAATTTAAAAATGGGACACCTCTAATTTTGGTGTGTTTGTTTTGATAAAAATGAACGCAAAATTTAATCTCTACCAAGGGGGCAGCAAAACCACAAAATTACCTTGAATACGGGGGCTATTCATTGGATGAAAGGGACCGTGAAAGAGGACACTAAAATAGAAAGTTTTTCTTCCGACAGTTTCATCTTAGTATTCATTTTTGCTTGAACTAAGGCGTAACCAGCGAGTTAAAAATTTGGAAATTCGGCAACCTCTCTTTTGAGGTTGGAGAGTCGAATCAGCCCGAATCCAGAGGTTTAACGTTTTAGCGATAGATGTTGAGATTTAGCATTATTTTATTAGTAATTTTAATACCTTTAAAATCGTTCGTGACTGATGAGAATTTGTCTGTTTCATGCATGAAAGAGCTTAAATTTGTCATATGGATATTTGATCTTGATATAATGTATTTGATTAAAGATTGGATATAACATTTGCTCTTCTATTTAATTCAAAATTTCTTGTTTGTTTGCTCCATTTGTTGACTTAATTCTATCCAAATAAAATAATTTATTGCATACATTCAGATAAGCTGAGAATACTTTGCAGCAACTAAAATAATCTGATTTTTCTGAGTCGAGTCGAGTATTACTACACGACACTGAAGAAGACTGCACATTGTAGACGAAATACGCGTATCTGTCAAGGATAAGCAAATAAGGCAGTGGAATTAAATGGAAATTACTAATCTTTCTCTCTCTCTCTCTCTCTCTTTATACAGGTATTCCACTGTACACATTCATAAGGATTGATTTTTCTGACAATATCTTGCATGAGGATTTCAAATAGGGTTGTCACAACCCTGCGCTCAACATCAAAGTTGTCACGACGATGCGCCCAACTACGGCCCTGGCTAACGGACTGACAGCCGTTTTGTCAGATGGTGATGATGTGGCACTTTCCGTAAGTAAATATAAATAATATACACGGAACCGAAAAATTACCCAAAATTAAGTTCTTTTCACTCATCTTCCGTGTTTCGTTCAATAAGCTAATTTTCAGTAAACCGCTTATAGTAGTTTGCATTTGGCTACGGCAAAAATAACTACTTACTCGTGTGTATTTTCTACCCAAAATTAAGTTAAATTCGACAGTGAGCATGCATAAGGGCGAATACGCGATGATCGATTCTCTTAATCGATTTTCTCTTTGCATTGCTACAGCTAAGCGATACAATTTTCTAGAATTTGTTCAATGCAGAGTAGTTACAGGTTGTATTGCATATCAAAAGCAACAGCAAACGCACCGATAAACGTTAAATCTAGCGAGTTATTAACGAAAGAGAAAATCGACGAAGAGAATCGATCATCGCGTATAGGCCCTTATGCATGCTCACTGTCGAATTGACTCAAATTTGAGAATATCTCATATCCTCACTAGTAGCTTATTGAACGATAGTCATGAGAAAGTTGAATCTCTCGTTCCTTTTTTGAAAAAGTGAGAGTGGGATGCAAAACTCAAAATTACCCAAAATTAAGTAAAAAGAACTTAAATTAAGGGTAATTTTTTTTTTTTCTGTGTAAGTTAATTGAAAGTTGAAGTGGATAGGTGAGAAAGCTATGGTATTTGTTGTCGAAGGAAAAGTTATAATTAATTGTATTATTGTACCTAAATCTAGCTTAACATTATTCTGGAATGTGTCAACTTTACTTATCCTATTGATTAATTTCGAAGCATACATAAAAAACAGGTAAACACGGATGTAAAAAGGTGCACAACTTAACCTAATTCTAAAACGATTTCCCACAGTACACTTAACAGAAATAGTTCGGATGGTTGCTGCAAGTACGGACAGATCGGTTAATTTAGAAGAACACTAAACGCAAGTACATTCTTGAACTAAAGCAAGAATTGAAGACTAGATCTAACACGAATCCTGAACGTTTGAACTGAACAAATTAAAAAACCTAATACTAAGCATAAAACCTCCGCATAGTACCTAACCTAATTGAAATTTATATTGATTTCCCCAAGGGATTTTATAACACCCTGCCACAATAAAAGTGTTACGAAATCGGAACTTAATCGGTTGTCGGTTGCTTGCGCAATAAGGGTTGCATATGGGTCATTCCGCGCCAAGTGTCAAAGGCAAGTGAAATTATGTTTATTTTGGCCTGACATTTATGAATTTTTGTGTCGATCGAAGCACCCCTCGGTTCAGGAGAGAATTTTCTATTTGTCGTGATTTTCAAGAATGCGCTAGTTCCTTTTATTAATATCTCTGGAACGAATAAAGCTATATGTATAGTGTTTTTATGATAAAATTAGACAAGGAATCTAAACATGAATTTATTATTTTCGTGCAGTCTTGCCAAATATTTTGTATTTGCGAATAAAAATTTGTTCTTGACCTGCGTTCGGGCGCGGCCAGTGCTGGTATTGTCTAGATTGAGATCATCAGTTTTTACACATTGAGGATGATTGCTAGTCCCAAGCATCGTCTATTGGTTCTCTGTGTAAGTACAACTGATCTGACAATAACAGAGTAGCAACCGTGGGCGGTCAATCATGCTCATTCTCATGCTCTATGCATATAATAATTGTACAGGTACCCTTTTTAGACTAGATGCTACCAACGACCAATGATTTATAAATAACAAAACTTGTTTATTTATTTTTGCATATATTTTACGTTTCACTACATATATAAATTATACATTGCATGATATACTGTTACTATTAGCTTAATATTTCAGTTTTCCCAAGCAAGTCACCGAAATTAATATAAAGCTGATGAAGCAGAGGAAATAACAACATTAAATAATATTATATGTATATAATTATTAAGCAGGTTATTTCTAGTCATGTTAGTTATTCATCACAATTTTTAGCATTATTGTTAGTATATCGTATACATTTCAGTGTTGCATCCACCTGCCATTGTAAGCTGAGGAGGTATAGAGCTGCATCTTATTGTATGTTAAATACTTCTTCATTGCAGTAGCAACTATATGATCCATATAATATATTTCATTATGTCATATTTTAATGTTCTGATATATTTCATTTCTCCATTGCATATATTTTCATTATATAAATAAATACTGGGTTGGGAGGGAGCATCAGGGTATCATTCAAACTGAAACTGGACGATGGTATGATTGACAGCCGGAGTCTAAGAGGGAATAAACACTATCATTTTCTTTATCCTACCGATTCGATTGTGGTGGTGTGAATTCTACTCCAACAGTTTCAGGGCGATTGACGCGCCCTTCTTAACAAACCATCCAGTAGGAAGCTTAATAAGTATTGCGAATTGTGTTATTCGATTTGTTGGAGCGTATCGTTGGAAGGAGATTCTTAAATTCCCGTGGATTTCGCGTAAGTGTCTCTGCTTATGGGTCCACCCCTCCGTTTTTGGCCCTTCATACAGCGATATAGTGAATTCAGATCGGTAGCTCAAATTGATCTTGCTATTAAGTGGAGCTGCATACAAGACAAGTCTTGAAGGGATGGTGGCTACCTTACATACATACATACATACATAAAAACTAAAAACGCAAATTTCTCAGAATGAGAATAGGGGAAATGTCGGCTTCGGAAATACCTTAACCTATTATCGTCAGGGGGTAAACAAAGTCCTCTGAAACACAATGTATCCTCATGCCAAAATTGAGTTCTCAAAGACGTTGTTTACCTACCTGACGATAATAGGTTAAAGTATTACCGGAGCCAACATTTCCCCTATTTAAATTTCCAACACGATTGTCAATGTTTCCCATCCTTTTTTACATAAGAAACACTCATGGACAAAAAATAATTTTCATATTTCCTGAGATACAGCAAAGAATGCTAAAAAAATCAATTTGAACTGGTGCCGGTTTTTTCACGATTTTTTACACGGTAACGTTTTTCCAATGTGATAAAATTTCGTACTGATTTTTTTTTTGATAAGCGTTGGTGTAAATCCCGAAATTTTATAAAAATGTGTATATTGATCCTAGCATGCTAAAATTACTTGAGCTAACAGAACCCAAACATTTGAAAATGTTTAAGCATGTGAATTAACACTGACCAAGTCGAGGTTTTTACTTTTGTCTCATTTAACATGCTATAGGATACCCGTAGGCCACGACTGGTACATCTACCCTACAACATATATATTTTCATCGTGCAATACTTACTAGCAACAGCCCACGCTTCTTTCCTCTCAATCGCCTCCAACGTAAAATTCAAATCTCTCCTGCAGTCCACTCCATCCAACTCGTCCATCACTTCCCTTAGCTTTATCAAAAACTCCCTATCCATACCACCAAACACCCCAAGAACACTATCCCCCGGAACACTTGGCTTCCGTCTCAACCTATCATCATCAGCTTTCCGCGCCCGTTCTGTGGACAACTCCCGCGTCGTCAGGATCTTCCGCTCTTCCGGTGCGTGCAACTGGTCATTGTTACTAGCTCTCGCCGAGTCCTTTCCCAAATCATCATACACTTCACTACGCTGGGCCGTTGCCAAGCCGACCGTCACGAGGGCCACCAGAGCCAGCACATTCAATTTCATAGCTCACTTGGTTCTAGTATTAATGTTTCACAAAAACAAGTAATAATGACACTCACTGTGACTGTGTTTGCTCACGTGGGGGAAAAAGGAATTATCGCATGGCGTTCCGATCTTCAACGGAGAAGTCGCGCGGTATCTTTGTAACGCGCGCGTGCGTTCCGAGTCGCGATCAGGCTGTGACTGAGAGGTATGACATTGAATGGATCTAGAAAAGTAAGCCGGAGAGACCGGCTGGGCTTTTGTTAAGATACCTCTCGGTGCTGACCACACTGCTCTGTATGTAATAGCTGCTGGTTAACTACTGGTACAGGAGAACACGCCGGGATCTGCCAGTCGCCACCGCATGATCAGCATAACATATGATCGTGTGTTTATCGTACCGCGTAGGAGTAGCCGATGATAAATATCGGCGGAGGCGCGAAACGTGATAATGTTGCTAAAGGCGAACACGCGGCGATTATGATAGGTACGAGATTCGCCTGATTGATTTGGTGCGGAATCAACTCGGAAAGATCTGCAAATGGTTCAGACTGTTTCGTTTGAGATCCTGGTAATTCTATTTTGAAATCTAGATTCTGAGCACTTCTTTCGGTTGTAGACCATATTCGAAAATGAAATTGATCTCCAAAGATTAGAGTGAGCAGATGGAAAGGAAGTGAAATTTCGTGCAATCTTTAAATTTTTGGGGCTTAGGCTTTGGGGCTCCCTGAAGTGCCATTCGATAAAGCAAGTTTGCTCTATCAGATGCTGGTGTTAGATTGCGTGGACGTGATTTGATTCTCGAGAAATTTGCGTTTAAAGCCATTGTTTACGTTTGGTTGTTCCGCCTATTTCAATTGTTGGTCTTGTTATGATCTCGAATTTTTCTCCCTCACTCATTTTATTCATCAGCCGTTGGATTCAATGTCTGCCAAAAAAGGCACTGAAAATGGCGTTCGATTTATGTTTTCTGTTGCACATTTCTCACATTTCCTCTTTGATGAACCTATCGCGATTCGGGTTATCGAACCGTTGGATAATACACGAGAGCTTCCCAATCTTCAAATTTATCAGCATAGGTAGTTTGCCATATGCTTGCTTAGCTTGCATCTCCTTTAAATAGTTAACGCACGTGTCTGATTAATTAACTTTTCTCTACTCCGTACTATCTGCATAATATGTCAATGTTTCTAAGAAAAGCTAGAAGCTTTGATCAATTTTAAACTACAGTGAACTCTTCCTTATTCGATATCTCTTAAACTCAATATTCTCCCCAACTCGATGGAAATCCAGGCCATTTTTCCCATACAAATTTCCAGAAATTACCTCTCTAACTCGATGGTCCCATCAATTTCAAGTTAGAGAGAATTGACTGTAGGGGATTTTTTTTAAATTATCGAACAAAATTGGTCGAAGGATCTCAGAATGCTATGAAATTTTTCCCACAGGTATATTTTATGGTTAGGTATATGATTTTAATTTTTCCCGGAAAATTTTAGTTGAAGTTTTCGGATTTTCCCGGACATCACGTAGGGTAAATGTAGGCTTCGGCTTTCCTTCGTTTTTCATGGTCAGCGTGATTACCTCTCATCCCAGCAGGCCTGGGTTTAATCCCAGTCAGCGCCGCCGGGATGTTATGAGGCATAAAATCTCTGATCACGCCTTCCTTCGGAAGGGAAGTGAAGCCATTGGACGAAAAACAAATCTAGGAAAAAAAAAAACCACTTCGCTGTACATATTGAAACGATTCCTTAGTCTTCAGCTTCAATCTGATAACATTTTTATATGCACCGTTCGGCGAGACCGGATAAAATTCGAGTTTGAAATCTGTGTTAGGGAAACCACCTTTTTGCAAGCAATCGGTGATCACCATTGCAACAGTTGCACATTTGTGTGATTTTCAATAGTGACATATTTAAAGTATTCATTTTAGCAGATTCGTAAAAAATATTCTAATCGATTGGTTTGTTTAGAATTAAAATCCATCCGCTATTGACAGTTATAAGTGGTCAAAACCTGACCACTTTTCGTAACGCGGTCGATTTTGGTTTTTTTTTAAATTGCACCCACAATATGTTACCGAAGACGTAATCCTACGTCAAAATACTCATATATTTCTGGGTGTTCCAGTTCTGACCCGATTGTTTGTTTTGGCCACATCTTGCGAGCTGTCATTACAGTAAAACTGTGCTACAGTGGTATTCCACGCAAAACGCAAACTAGAACTCGCTAGAGCTATTCGACAGCCGCAGTCAGTTTTTGCCTGTAAACTTGGAGACATGCTTCAAGTCTCCGCGTACATCGTACGGGTTAGGCAAAAGATGTGCGTCTAACTTTAAAAACTGTCGCATTAATGGTCCTTCGCTCATTTTCAACTTCTATTCAATTTTCATACTGCCGCACTCTAACGGAACTATCAACCTACTCTCTTCTAAAGATCATTCTCTAGCTAATAAATTATCACACTAAAGCTTCATGTTAGCATTTCCAACCAACTCCGCAAAATATTTGTCAAATGTACAAGCCGTGGAATTAGTTTAAGAATTTTTTATCACAGCTGCTGAATTCAAATAGGATCGATGTAGAACTGATTAACTATATGAGGACAACTTCCCAAGTATTAATCAAGTGCACATAATGTTTATATAGGGCTAATATACAAATTTAAATCGTATATCTACCCCCTCTTTTGACGTAGGATTGAGTCTGTAGGCAACATATTGGGGGTGCAATTTAAAAAAAAACCAAAATCGACCGCGTTACGAAAAGTGGTCAGGTTTTGACCACTTATAACTCTGTTAATGGATGGATGGATTTTAATGGTTAATACGCCAATCGATTGCAAAATTTTCTACGAATCTGCTTAAATGAAAATTTTATCAATTTTCAATAGGACACTATTGAAAGCTACACAAATGTCCAACTATTGCAATAGTGATTAAAGTTATCTACGATTGTCTGTAAAATCGAATTCCATCCTGTCTCGAAGAACGTTGTAAATTTAATCATGTCCGGTCGGTCGTCATAAGATGGAGCAGCAGCAGTGCTTTCGGAGCGTGGCGTTAAACATTTTTCCCCAGTACACAACGAAAGGCTCCCCGTAAGCTGCAAGCAGCTAGCTATCAAGGCTGCCCTCAAAAGCCCTCGATTCACCGAAGAAAGAGGAAGAAGCCACACCGCTACTGATCGGATTCAGTTGCTCGTCGTGAGTCACTGTGAGCCATCTATGCCAAACGCGTCATCCACGTTCCGAACAACATACAGCTCGCCAGCCTCATCTGTGTTGAACACCCAAATAGCTCAGCATTACTCAACCAAACAGGTTTTTTTGAGGACCACCATAAATTATTGTTGTTTAAGAGTTAATTTCCATTGAAGGTTCGCTCGCCTTGCTGCCAGCCACATTAACCCCAAAGCTCTTTGATAATGTACCCAGCAACCAAACGTTTGGTGTCAAATGCGTAACAGTATTGAAGTGGTACATACAAATTCTCGCGATGACCGAATACGACATGACCTTGTCAGCTAAGCAGAAACACTTCGAATTAAGGTAAGGCTTCCTTCAGGACCTTAGAAAAAAGCAAAAAAACTCGAATTTATATGATTGATCGCGAATATCTCGCGATTGGAAAATTTGAGCAAGAAGTTCCTGTAGTCAATTTTCGCCTTTTTATTATCTATTGACTAAATCCAAAACTCGGTGCGTTTTGTGCACGAAATGCGTCTTTTCTCGAAAACGAGGCGTTTCCGTAATGGGAAAAAGTGTTTTCCCTAACACAGTCGCCGAATATTGATACCGAGCACTGAGCATGCCAGACAGTACCTATTTTTATGCCTTTTTGATGCAAATTTTAAGCCCCTCGTATTAAGAGAATTAGGCATACAAAAATTCTTGCCAGCTTCTCTTAATATGAGAAGCTTAAAATTAGCATCAAAAACCATAATCGTCCGGTATGCTCAGGTTCTGTGATTGATGTGTTTTCTCTGATACAGATTTCATTTCCCAATACCAAATAAATGGGAAATTCAATCTCTTAAAATTTCTTACAAGTGTGAATTAAGTGATATTTGAGAAATCGTTTGCGAGTTTATACCACTTGGAAATACTCTTAGTGCTTGAGCTTTAACCACAGTAAAGGCCCACGCACATTAGATCCGGATCGGACGCGTTGCGGCAAAGTGACAGCTAAATCTTTTGTCTAACTGTCACATTTACGTCAACGCAACCCAAACGGATCTAATGTGGGTGGCCCTTAAGTGCATCTAATCTAATCGACACACCAACCAACACAGCCAGTTCTTGAAAGCATCCTAAAAATATATATATAAATACCTACATCATTTTTCTTGTCTATTTGATATATGTTTCACATCGAAACTGCGTCACACATATCAAAACGGCCAGGCCTACTGTGCAGCATTTAAGGGGCAAGATGATTCAGAAAACATCGGGCCTGTTTAAATCGGTGATTTAAACACGATGCTTCCGAATCCAATAAATGGATGAAACGTGGACATCTCGTATCGTAAGTTCCGATTTTGGTAATTATATGATTGGTTGGTCGTTGGAAGCATCAAAGCTAGAAAGGTTAAGTGATGCTCCATTTTCTTCTGACGGTTGGGGCATGAGCACTAACTCTTGTCCTAGCCTTTTATGACTTATAGCTATAGCGCCATTACTCGCTTTCTAAAAAGCGAAGACGGAAAGGAAAAGGAGAAGGAAAAGGAGAAGGAAAAAGGGAAAAGGATTATGTGAAATCTATGAACATAAACAATATTTTTGATTTGAAATATACAATATAGAAATGGTTACTACCCGAGTCTTGTCACTATTATCAAGTCATAAAAAGTAACAAGGACTAAAATGTGATCCTTTGATTACTGGAAAATCCTGATTCCCTAGTTTGAAGTTGTCACGACTAGGGTTCAATGGTAGATCTTATACCAGTAACGCACCACAAAGAGGTGATCTCCCAACGTTACTGGTTTGAATGGATAAAAATTTACAAAATGGAACGAACTCACCAAGTTTAGCCAATTAAACCTGGAGGCTGCCTGACATGTGTTGATGTAGAAGTCCAAATTTTAGACGAAGCTTGACGAAAATCAACATGAACTAGTCCGGTTAATGGTAGTTACGCGGAATGTCTTCCTTCGATTTGAGATAAAAAAATGTTCGGATGTATGTAGTCGA